AACAATAAAAATACATGTACAATCAATATTTAGTAAATGAGCCCTTGCTCTCAATGACAGCTGCACATCTTCGACTACAAGAACGAATCAGTTCTTGACAATCCTCGATACTAATTTTAGACCATTCTTCTTGAAGCTTCACACACAAATACTGAAAAATACTTTTGCCCAATTTTCATATGTCCAAATTACATACCTGTTTGCAAACTCTAATCTCTTCTTCTTCGAACTAACAAGTGGTTTCTTCCCTGGGGTTCGATTAAACAGCCCTATTTCTTGCAGTCGCCTACAAACAGTCTGTCTTGACACATTAACATATGAGGTACTATTCATAACCCTTTTAATTTCTGTGCAAGACTTAAAACGGTCCTTTAATGACATACGCTACATTATTCGATCTTCTCTTGAATTTTTTGCGGGGTCTGCCGGTTTTAAAAGCACTAACTATTTTGCCAGTATCATTGTAGGATTTAGCTACCCTGCCTACAACACTCTTGGAACGTTTCACTTTCTCTGAAATCTCTCTAATGGTGTGCTTTTCATTGTGTAGCTTCACAATAGCTTGTCTCACAGAGTAATCAAGTTTTTGGCGTTTCGCCATGGTGCCGGCTGATGCAACGTTTACAAATGACTAAGTAAGACTTATTCTTTAGAGGAAATCAAAAAATTTGAATATAGCATACTGTTTACATTGTTTTTCTCAATTTTGTCCCTTGCTTTTGGACGATCCTATTTTGAAAATAAATAAATAATTGTTATAATTCTTTTTCTATCCTTTGCAAATGATTCAAATTTTAGTATGTTATTATGGATGATAACGACTACCAGTTGTCAAAATTTCAGCTTTTCACAGTTGTTATTTCTAACAAATATTAGGTTTTAAAATTTTGTCCATTAGTTTTGACGCTATATATATATATATATATATATATATATATATATATATATATATATATATATATATATATATATATATATATATAATATTTAGGCAGCACCTACCTAGGCGCTTAAGCTTGGACTGCGACCATCGCGATCGTCAGGCGTGACTAGCAGTTTAATGTGACAACTGGAGCATAGAGCCATCAGACAACACATTAATTAGCAGCCTAAAGATTATAATAACATTATACAGCTACTCACAAACAATATCAAACTACGAGTAATATAAAATAGTAAAAAGACTTACGATGAACAACTAAAACAACCATCAATAAATAAAAGCAATTTTAACTTAAGAGACCGTATCCTTAAATGTATATAGGAAACAAATCAAAACACATACGTCACAATTCGCTTACATCACAACACTCTTTGTTTAAGTCATTAAACTCACTACTTCTACAAAACTCATTCTCTACTTATCCTGATAGTGACGCTACCTACCCCTAAGAAGAAAGTCGAAAACTTGGAACATATTTCCTGTACTTTTCTTCCGAAATAAACTTCAGATAATTTCTAATGGAATTCCCTCCTTGTCGGAGAAGGAGTATTCGTTACTTGGAACACACACACACATACATATATATATATATATATATATATATATATATATATATATATATATATATATATATATATGATAAAATATAGTTTTATGGTAAGGTATATTTATGGGTTAAAGTCCTCAATATCAGGGATAGAGCGTATGTAAATGTAAGTGTACGTTGAAGTCAACACTCAGCGGCAACGGTCTATTTTATTCTAATAGCAGTCATATATATATATATATATATATATATATATATATATATATATATATATATATATATATATATATACGCGCGTGAGTGTGTGTGTTCAAAACATTTATCTTATAAGCTACACAGCTATTATTTATTATATATTCCAATTTTAAAAGTTGCATTATTTTAATGAATACATATTACGTAATATTTTACAAAAGAATTTTCTGCCTCTCTCATTTCGAAACTGGTTTATTATATATTATTCACACGCACATTTAGTATTACCTCAACTACTCAATACTCGTTGCAACAAATGGCCATAAATTAAATAAAATATTTTTCATTGACATTTTTATCATTTCAAATCCAATGTACTCTAAAGCTATTTCCATGATAGAATACGTTCTGTTTACATATCTAATGTTTGATTTTAAATAGATCGTAAAATTTAATTTGTATGGCTAATAACTAAAAGTCCAATATCAAATGTAAAACTATTTTCATGAGATTTTTTCTCCCGGTCACATCACAAATCAAACGGAAAACCACCTATTTATTTGCATGACAGCTTATGAAATATTAAAAAATGTCATATTAATATTATGTAGTAAGCGATCAAAGGCAATCATTACGGAATCTTTTTTCATATTATCTGCGAATTACTTTAACTTCGTTGGAAAGATAATAGGGAGGTTTCACGTTACTCTCCCCATTGTTTTGAATTCAAAATTTTCCTTTTTCTAGATTAGCTGCCACCCATTTCAAGTTGATCCAGTTAAGCTACAATTCACTTGTAGGTGTGTGTTTGCGTG